CTTCCGATCAAGGCTAGTTGCGTTTCTGGAAGATATGCTTTAGTCAGACACGAGTTATTGGACTGGATACAGGGAAAACTGGATGACATTCTTTTGGCTTGTGCTCCACAGGAGGTCAGACTAATAGCTCATTCTGACTTTAAATTCTTTGCCTTATGGGTTGTTTTCACCTCCCACTGAATCATCAGCTATTGGCCAGCACTGGAAGTTGGAGATCAGGTATGTCAGAGCATTATGGGACCCGATCCAAGACCTACCGAAGTCAGTGGGAAACCTTATTGTGTTCGATGTGCTTTGGAATAAGTCTTTAGTCTGTGCTGGTCTTTAAAATCAGTATGTTCCTTTGTATCAGTTGTCTTAAAAAAAATATATAGACTCAAAACTCCACGCTGTTCCACTCTGCTTATACTAAAGCTTTTTACTCTGACATTCTGGAATGCATTTGCAACACAAGGAATTAGGCACATGACTGCCATTCATAATAGAGGGAGTTTGCTGCCAAACTCCCCCGCACCCTTCTGGAAATATACGCCTCTTTTCTGATTTAAGGCCACTGCACCTTGGATCCTAGTTGTATAAAGCTCTGGTACAATTAGACTTGTCATAAAACCATCATTGTATAACTCTTCAAATGCCTGGTTCCCCAGGACAGAATTGTTATTAAGTGGGTCACACCAAGCTGGATTTTTGAGATAAGTGACAGCATTAATTACAATTCCTCATACAGGGTTTTTTCCCCCCTCCTCATGCAAGTAACATTTGTAATGATTGGTATATTGCCGGCAACAACAGGACATTGTTTTCCACGCTGGTCCTATCTTTTTCAGGTATCCCAAGCTTGCTGCTAAGCACCGTGAATCAAACACTGCAGGAATAGACATCTTCTCCAAGTTCTCAGCATACATCAAAAATACTAAGCAGCAGGATAATGCAGGTGAGTAGCATTATTTAAAAACGCTTTTCAAGGAGTGCAAAGGCTTAAAACGAAACACATGGTCAGTCGTGTATTTCATCCCTTCATCCTCTTCTAAGCTGTACAAGAGGTACCCTTGCTGATTACTCTGGGCCTGTAAATTCAATAGAGTTACTTCAAATTTTCACTACTATAATTGAAGTCAGACTTTGGCCCCAAATATCTCAGGATTGTGCTTAGCTGGCACTGTGCTTTTGCTGATGTAGGTTGCACAGTACTGAGAGTTTGTTTAAAATTAATTAGATGAAGGGAGTGATTTGATTTGGCCCCAAGAAGGCCTGTGTTATTACAGCAGGGATGCCTGTGGCCAGTGTAACTACAATTAAAACAACCCTTAACTTCATGAAGCTTCTCTTCTTCTCTATTTTCCTTTCCCCAAAGAAGGCCACATCCTTAGCCAGTATTGCTATAGATTTAGCTTCATGGAGCTGATGATCCAAAAGAACATTTGTATTCACTTGTTACACCTTACCTTAGATTATGACTTCTGCTAGGTAGGGTCTTTTTCTTTCAGTTGCATACCATGAACATGCATCATCCAGGTGAGAAAAAGTTGGATTTGTGGAACTGAACTGAGGTTCAGGACATCTAATTTTAATTCTCAACACTGCCACAGACTTCATGTTTGCCCTGATAGAGGTTGCACAGGTCCAAACCCTTCAGATGAAGTTAATAGTGATGATGACAGATGAGAATCTGGCCCTCCTTTTTTTGTGCTGCAGTCTTCTTATTTGTAAAATGGGCAATAATCATAATTCCCTCCTTCTGGGAGGTGTTGCAAGCCATTGAGGTCTGAGATACTCAGTCTTGGCTGGATTTAATAAACCTCATCATGAACTGAAAAAGAGTCCACGGTGAGGGGGATCGCATATTTTGGGCAGGGGAGACACCATTCTTGGCCTTTTGCCTCAGATCAAAAATAGGTATAGGGTAAGGCTTGCCCATTGCACTCCAGAGGGGCTGAACTCTATAAGTTTCCCTAAATGTGGGAAACTTAACTGCACAATTTTGTGTCAGTGGGTGACTGTATTTGCACTTTCCCCCTGCCTTGCACCTTGGCCTTTTGGCTAGGTGCAAGTGTGAATAAACTAGGGGGCATCCAAACCCCAAGGTGTCTTGGGCCTAGGGCTTAGATGTAGGATGCCTGCCATGGATTTGGGGAAGTATCCCAAATCCCAGACTGATGAGTCTGGGAGAAAAGATTTTTGCCTGGTGGTAGAGCCACACAGACTTCAACAATTGAGCTCTGCTCAATTGAAATTTGCCCAATTGAATCTGGAACTGATTTCACCCTTGAAGTGAAATTTTTTTTTTTAAATGTGTTTTATAGTCATGCTCAATGTTGGCTGCATTTAATCAACTTCATAGTTGGTTTCCATTGCTGAGCGCATGCTGCTTTTGGCAGCAGTTTAATGATAGGCGGTGTTTTTAGTGAAATTTCCTTGTATGCGATTATAAGACGAGGGGCTTTTCCCCCATGCTAATTAACGGGAAAAACTTTGCCTTAGAGTTGAATAAATATGGTAAATACATAAGTATAGAACAACAGAGACATGTGCATGTCTCTAGAGGACTATTTAGTTCCTATAATGGAGGCACTTACACACCCAGAGAGGGTAAAAAAATTACTCCTACACTTTAGTTGGTGTTGGTTGCTAGCTGTACTTTGGTTGTCCAGTAAGTGAAATTTAATTCTACTCTCAGGACATAGCAAAAATGTTGAGTAGACAGACACTAGTGGTAAAAATGAAAAAGCAAATACAGTCTATTCCATCTCACCCCATAATTTATTAAGTTATATTGGTTCAACATAGGTCTGAACCAAATACCAAGAAACCCAACCCTCAAAATGTTGGGGTGTTTAAATACTTCCCTTAATGGAGTATCATAAGGATAAATATGTTAATGGACATGAAATCAGGAGATCAATTTTACAGCATCAGTTTGCCATTAATTTTAAGTGTCATTATTTATGATTATTCTTCATAGCATACTCGTAAATGTTTTGGAAAAGTCAAAAGGTCTTAGTAATATGTTCTCACTACAGCCAGTAGCTGGTAAATCTTTGCTGAGAAGTAGGGTGAAGTGGTTGGGTTTTTCTAGCAAGATTTATGGAGTATGAGAAATCTTGAAGTGAGAATTAATGAGACCCTATGGTATGCTTAAGATAAATCAAAGCAGCCTTTTCTTGCAATGGGGTTTGCATGTTGGATCATGCCATGATTTTAGCCTCAACAGCACCAACTAGGGAATGATGGATCACTGTGACAGTTGATCTTGCCAAGGTGGTACATTAAGAGTCTACAGGCTTGAGCGGGATCAGGTAACAAAGTAGCTGGGATAGATGTTTTTTTCTTTAAGCAGAGTCATTACTGATAAATCCTAGAGGTAGTTTCTTGTCGTGGAATCTCCCCAATATATTTACTTTATCAATGAACAAAGTCAATGATACACATGCCCATTTGATTTAAGGCTTGTGATACCCTCTGCTGGCAAACATGTGAATATATAAAGCAGCAACTTTACAATCCTTTAGAGCTTCCTGAAAAAAATTATCAGAACACTTTTCCATGAATGATGCAGGTTTGTAAAAATCCAAGTGTTTTGTGAGTACATGTCAGTTTGAAGAAAACTCTTGATAGAAAGAATTTAAATGTTGCATTTTAATATTCAAAGGTTCTGTTTCAATAGTATCATTTCAGTTACTTTTGGTTTGACTGTTATATTATCATAAAATATTATATTTATTTTTATTATTAGGTATATCATATTTTATATAGTAGCATAGACTTGGAAACAAAATAAATCTGAACAATGGTGTCAAAATGAAATGTTTTGACATTATTGAAACATAATGTTCTGATGGTCCTGCATCGAAATTTTTGGTTTGTTTTTATTTCTCAGGTAATTTATGTTTCTCACTCCAATTCAATTGAAATCATTTAGAAACAAAACACTTTAGTATTACAGAGAGAACAGCCCTGTTTCTGGATTAGCCACAAGCCATTGTATTTTGTGTCTGGAACAGGAGCAGGTGATAAGCCTTTGGTGTAACTTTGTATGACAATATGTTATTGATCATGATTCATTTGCTCACCAGAGGTATTTGGAAGTCAGCCTGCCCTTATTTAATAGTTCCCTGAATTTCTGATCCTTTTTTCACTTCTTTGTTTTGCTAACTTTTCTGTCTTATAACATAAAAACGTTGAAAGGTTTGGAACAGGCAGGCTAGGGCTGTAAGCCCAGAAGCAAACATACTCACGCCATATCAAAGTTTTACCACTTTTAAGCATCTTGAAAGGGAAGGAATTGATTCCAGATTCTCAGGATGTGGCAAGCTGTGTTTTAAGAAAGCGTGAGTATTTATTATTTCAAGCCAGTTCAATTACAACGGGCTTGATTCCTTCCACCTCCCACGTCACTCAGTTGCAGAACAGGCTTTTCTAAAGGAGTGGTCTTCACAGCACAGGAATAGCCCCACTTCTTGCTTGGATAGTGTGTCTAGATTATTCAGTCCTCTGACCTTCTCCATAAGACCATGCTGCTGTGGTTGAAATCACTAACGTTTAATCCTCTCTGCGGTTGATGCAAGTCATGAAAATCCTGGGATGAACTCGATGGGTGTAATCTTGATGTTAGTGTCCTAGAAACTCTTCTTTAACCTTAATTGATTGAGTTTTCCTGCCTGATTTGAAAGCAAAGCCTTTTCCTGACACTGCAAGCTTGAGTAAGTTGCATAAACTCTATAAGAAGGACAACAACTATTTATTTAATCATTGGGCAATCACAAAGATTAACTAGTTGAAACGCTGTGTACGTGTTCAGTATTACGAGTACTATCTCTCCGTGACTGGTATAGTAACCACCCATTTGCAGTTCTTCCTAAAATTATACACGCTTTGGCTCATAGAATGAGCTCTTTGATTTCGTTTATGAGTTTAAAAAGTTGTTCTTGAATTGAGTTCTTAGAGGGCACTAGCTCCAGTGTGGGTGGGCGCATTCATTAGTGGTACGGGAGGATGTTTTACTGTACTGCTCTTCACAGGGCTCTGAGCTGGGAGACCACCAACGCGATTTCATTCACTGGAATTTCCAGCCATCTGACCAGCGGATTCCATTGGTCTGGTTTGGATTTAGATCAAGGGGCCAAAAAAATAAAAGAACATTAAATCATTAATTTGCATGTGATTAAATACTGTTCACCTCCTTCAGTAGCTAGCTACATCACACTTTGTGGTTAAGCCTGTGAGGTAAGAAATGTCCCTCTCTTTATGTGCTATATATACTTACACATAATATATATGCACATGCACGTACAGGGTCTGGATCTCCTCTGACCTACATAAGTGTTACACTAGCTTAATTCCACTGACATCCACGGAGTTATACCGGGTGAAATCAGAGTTAGATCTATAGAACATGGACTTGCACAGTATGGACACTGTGTGTGTGTTCCAGTTCTTTCTAAAAGCCATCACGTATCTCCTTAAACAAACAGAGAAAGACATTGGTTCAGTTCAGAAGGTAGTACATAGAAAGATTACAGTAGTAATGGAGCGGTGGGGCAGATTATTTCCTGATCCCAAGCTAAGCTAGATGCCAGACACTACAGGGGCCATTAAAGAGGCACTCGCAGCTCACTGATTCTGAGATGAGCCCTGGCTCCATCTCATGTTAGAGAAATCCATGCTCACTTTTACCTTATGGCAGTGGAGGATAAGTACAGCAAAACAGAACTCCTCTCTCTACTCAACATTTCCCTATGCTGGGAAGGGGAACGGCACCTACTTATAAGTCAGCTCTAGCAGAGCCCTCATCCCTTCCCTCCACTTTCTACCAGAAGGTGCCTCCTTTGCATCTTATAATTAGCCCCCAAATCATAAGTGTGCATCTGACTTTTTGGCACAATTAATCTCACACCTTTAGCCTCATCCACACTCTGTACACTGAAGTCCATGGCA